CTGACTTGTCATGGTCATCTTTGCTAATCCTGCATCATTACTGGCTCCACTAGTACTAACACGAAGAGTTGAGGGGGGGCTCAGTGTGTATGCTTCTGGGCTAATTGCTTTTGAAGCGGTGTTTACCCGTGTTTAACCATAGTATTGCTGTAAGTAGTTTTTTAACAAGTAGTCTGTCGTTGCCCATGAATTGTAGTGCACTCACTTTATCTGGAAACTTCAGGGGCACTGTGCCTAAACTCACGTTTACCTTCTCAATCGCAGCCATTAACAGGTGAGTCCATTGATATCGCATAAACTTATAAGATCATTTTTCACTCTGTCTAATTTTAGCATATCATTTTGCCATCTGCGTAGGCGTTCCTTCGTCCTGGATGCGATTGAAGCTAGTGAGGAAACCGCAGTGTACAGTAGTCTAGTGTAACGTTTATCGATTCCCTAATCATTTCACATAGTGATAGAACTTGATCATAACTAGTGCTAGATTCACGCAATTTCTTTTTATCCTAGTAACTTCTTTTTTAAAGGCGGCCATCCCACTGGTCAATTCAGGTGCAATGCGGGTTTCGCAGTTGGGGTAGTTCATAACTTCATCCAATTTTTTGCGGAGTTTAGAAGATGAACGTCTTGTTTTCAAAACAATAACGGATGGATTAGAAGCAGCGGCATCCATGTGTCTTTGCATGGTTTTTACTTATATATTCAACTGTACTATGGAGCTTCTGCTTCTCACAGTGCTAACTAGCATTTCTAGTGCATATTCGGTAGGGTATTATGACGATGCACGTACAATTATTAATTCCTGTGATTGGATAGTAGGATAGCCACAGGAGAACGAATAAACACACGATACACTTATTTTACGTACAATAAGCGACACAAACCAACCAGTTTTACTTTCCCCGCTGTTTCGTTGTAGGTCCAATTTTTTGGATCTATAAGTCAGTATGATAGGTCAAACCTTTCGGCTGAATGGCGTGTTCGTTAGCTTATCTTGTTCGCCTATGTATCCGGGTCTCAGGTGTACGCTGCTAAGCAAAGACGAAATGACGATCAGACGCTGACGTGGTTCCTATACATGTTGAGACTCGTGCGCGTGATCGAGTGCAATGTACAAGTAGTGAGCTGATAAAGACTCGCACATATCGGTCGTTGAGATCGGATCCTTACAGTGATGTGCTAGGAACGATGGTAGAAGAACTGATGTACTTGTAGTATTCACAAATAGTGCTGCAGCTACTGGGTAGCCTGATAGATAGTGACGACATATGACTTTTTGGATAACCGGGAGGATACCCGTTCAAGTGTGGGCAACTGACTGGAAGTGTATCCGAAAAGGAAAGTAGTTTTATATGTAGATTTCAGCTAAAATTCTATAAAAATTGTTAAATTCATTTGGAAAGATGAAGCGAAGGATTAGTTTTTGTTCGAAACCTCCACTTGTTGGTGCTGCTTATTCCGAGTGAAATGGATGATATGAGCTATCTTGATTTATGAGGACACAGAATAAGAACAAAGGATTCCAGAGCGGCTAATTCGTGCGACACCTTTTACAGAGGTTTGAAATTGTCGGTCATAAACGAAAGTAGAGAGTTATCAGCAGTGGCTTGTTTTCCCTTATTTGTCTTGCGAATGAAGCAGATGTGCCCCTATTAAATCTGCGCCACGGCCGACGCAGCAGTGGTTGATGTCTGATGAAATAGGCATGGCTGTTTATGGACCGAGGTATTTCCATGGCGCCTAGACCTTGATAGGAAAATGATTGGGGTCATCAAGTAAATTCTCGTGCTTAGATGCCTGCTTGCAAGGCAGCCGGGAAGTATTAGTGATTCAGTGTTACATTAATTGACGCTATCTCATGTTTATCTTCCATCTGGTAGGGTCAGGAGACTGAGTTTGTCTGATTTCTAACCTTTGACAAACCTGGTTGGTTTAACTTTCAAGGGGCCAGGGTGCACTGCCCATTATACTTCACTGTGTCGAGGACATACGCAAATCGTCGCACCACGTTGAACTCCAGCCTTTTTTCAACGGTCTATGGTAAATAAATCATTGGGCTCGTTGCATGCTTCATTGATCCCCGTGTTTTCAACCGCTCCATCACGTATCTTGAAGGCAGAGTATCAACTGATCGACCAAGGCTATAGGGTGTAAAGGGGTAAGTTCCACTGTCACCCCACAAATCACGGCGGTTGGCATTGTTTCTTTAGGATTTCAGGGACAAAATTTTTTTGGTACGTATGTCATCCACATATTACCAATAGCCGAATATTCCCCCTTCAATGGTACACAAAGTAATTTCTTGACTTGACTTACCCAGTAGGACTTCTGAGTACGATGTAATGCAATGTCGCTGGTTGTCAACCGGCCTTCTGGCGCCACTCCACTTAGTTCACGCAATTAGAACTGTCTGCCATTGTAGACCATATCCTTTGCCTACTTAGAACCCGACTGTCCAGGTCCGTATTGGTGTACAAGACTGCGTCTGGTTGGAAGAGTTCCAAAGGGCCATCATCGGCTGGTTTGGAAATGGTGTAAAAGTAAACTGGTCCTTTCGATGGTTGCTACCCTCCTGGATGATGTTTTCACGATTAATTGCATCGGCAGTCTGATACCAATTTTACTCTGTGCTGTTACGAAGTTAGTAAGAACTTGTGCCTCGATACCTAACATCTGTGTAGCGACTTTTCTAGTGCTTATAATACTCTTCACCGTATGTTATAATATTTTACATTCTCGTGCTTATTCCTTTTTTACCGCTAGTTAGTTTTGTTATCATAGATACACCAAGCATTTGCTCTGGATTCACCATGTTTTGTTCTTTAAAGCCTGGTTGTATACTGAGGAACAGACTTAAGTCATAAGTAACTTAGTCTGAATAATCTCTTTGGTTGTGAGGGTATGGTACCCGCTATCACTCATTCTGTCATCGGACTTATCCAGTTCCTCACGTTAGTTGCCGCTTGTCAGATACCTAAACGGCGCCTACTCACTGCTGAACACGAACCTGCCGTCAACTTATTGGTGGGGACTTGGAAAGATTGGTTACATGACCGTTTAAATGGCTTTGTCGTTATATATTAAGAGTGCAACCCTCCTGTTCGTTGTCCACAAAGGGGTACTGCCTATCGACTATTGGTTTGACTCTTGATAACTGTCCGCGTTGCAGTTACAATACACGCGGTGAAGATTGTGTGGAATGATCCTTGTTGACGCAGACAGTCGCATTGTAGCATGAAGGTAACATAACTGGCACTTAAGTCCTTATGTCGAAATCGGTTTGCAAACACATTTTTGAGCAGATCACCGTCCTTTCTACCGCTCATCAATCAGTACTCCAAAATTATAAGGCATGCAAAGTGTGACATGATCCTTTACTGAAATACGCAAAAACAGAAACAAAACTGTTAGTATTGGAAGCTGGAGTGGATGTCGATTAAATGCAAATTGTAATCGATAGCCGGAGTCAAAGTAATTCGTGGTTAGCCCAACAGGTTCTATGCGTTATGACCTGTGAAATAGCAAACTGGAAACCTAACTACGTGGTTAAGTAAATTCCTATTCGAATTTTCAATTTGCTGGCATATGAGTGAGGACAAGCCGTGCGCCACTACTGATAGCTCATTAGGCTGAATAGCACTGATTATCAAGAGATGGTATAGCGGAACACTGGTACTGGTTGCGACAGGAACCAGTAGCGATCAATATGGGTACCAATTACTCAGAAGTGAGAACGTAGCCGGGCCCAAAGTGTATAATAAAGTGCTGCAATGCACTAGACACAAATGATCCAGAGTACAGAGCAAGATAGCGTGCTAAGCAGGGAGTATTCAAAAGTGCTCCGGATTTGCCGTCAGTAATATAAAAAGACGATCTTACGATACAAACAAGAATATTATCTAATGTCACAAAAACTGAAAGTGTAAATCTTTCATGCTGTGTTTTCGCCTTCATGCAGACAATCGCTTTCTAATGCAGTTGTATATTGATTTAGCTCTTCTGTATCTTTTAACTTTCAGTCCAGACGTTGCTTTTTCTTGTGCATCAGAAACCAAATCTCAGTACGCTTTTATCGCCCGTCTTATATGCGTTTCTTTCCTGAGTAATCTACTTGATGAGTAACCGAGCGAGAGGTCACTCTCCAGATATGTACACGTTTTTATTTGTTCACGGTCCGCTGTATACATCGTTTTACATATTGAAACTGGCGGAATAATGCTGTAAGACATGCATATTGATTACCACTTCCTGTGCGTCCTTACAATAGCGTGTACTCCGAACTCTAATAGGTCCTGTGTGAGTACTCATTTAAGCCCATCTGCAATAAACCTACCACCATTTCTCCAGTCTTAACATACTAACCCCTTGGATCTGATATTGATGGTTAACACAACTATATTTTATATATCCATGGTTATTGATACACTAACTTACCCTCGAGAATAACTAAAATAATTGTAATGACGTTTTTCTTTATACTAACGCAGATGGCAGCTTGTTTACTTCAGTGGACGCTACATCGGTTGGCTAAATACAGAGTCCCCGTGTTAGTAACGGGGACCATATCTAAACTTGCATAGTTGCTTACATTTATTATACAGGGAGAGTCGCTTGGCGAGTACCTCTATTTCAACTCATTCCCTTTATTTTTGTTGACTGTATGAGTATTCATCACATTGTTAGCGGCTGTTGGGTATTATGCAAGACCCTTACCAACTGAAGATTCTATTGGGTGTATAAAGCGTTCTGTTTATATGGACGTGTGACCGTGCTTTTGCATCCCAATACGAATGTGCCCCACCTTCAATATTTTCAGCTTCATCAAAAAATATTTGTAGGTGCCCCCTTACTTAATGTGAAAGTACTCTGGTGGTAACTTGGATTACTTTTATCCTAAACGCCTCATGTAGCCTACTCCCGCATCACCAGCACATGGTTCAAAACCATCTCAATATTCACGATTGCGACTTTATATTCCGTTTGATTCTGAAATACCTCAGGGTGCTCGCATACCGAACTGTCGATATCACGAAAACGTTACAACTGGAAGAATTAATTGCACGTGAAGAACTGGAATACGCTATCGAAGAGGAAGTAGCGCGGCAGACAATCGCAGCATGGATTGAACGCTGTATTTTTCGAAATCGACAAGTGCGTTTACTTTGTATAGTGAACAATGATTTATCACGGGATAAAAGCAAGTGCTTGCCACGTCCCGTAGGATGGTTGGGGTGAATACCATGAAGTCAAAATATATGTGGGTCCGCTACCGAGCATCTACCGAGATGAATACTTTGCTAAAAACACATCAGTGTCAAATTTAAAAAATCGAGTGTACATGTTCAGAAATACACTAGGGTGTAGTGGTCGTTGATATAAGGCGTGCGAAAAGTAAAATATGGTGAAACTTTTTCATTCGGTATTTTGTCATAGATAAGTAGTTGGATAAGTACCAAATCGTTTGTTGTCAGCGCCTAACCCTTTTCTTCACTCATTAGTAAGAAACCTAAGCAACAACGTTTACTCAGTGCATAAATATATTAATATGTCAAGCACAAGGTTAAATAGTTCATTCCTCCTTTTACCTTCAGTGGCATTCATCACAGGTTCCACAAACATTATCTATCCTAGGTGGTTCGGCGTTTTTCGCGACTGACGCTTTATAGGCTAGCATATTTTCTTGCAAATTGAGTATTTTCCATCAGGTTGCGTACAGTACATTATTCCACTTATAACTTGGCGGAATTTGCTCTACAACAATGCACCTCCAACTTATGTTATTCTGGAGGGAAGGTCAAACCCTGAAAAGCATTATTACTATATGTGGAAATCTCACCTGTGCAATTTCAGCTCCGCGGGTTGTTCGTTTTTTGATCAGTCCAGCGATTTGCAAGCAGTTTGGTCGTTGCAATATTTACTAACGTGGTGTGGGCGCTCAGCCTCGAAAGAGCTTGAAGTTCTGCTACTTTAGAAGTCCCCACCATGCATGTCTATGGTGCATAATTAGTACGATATATATATATATATATGCGGAACTTTTTGTATTTGCCTCTCTTTGTGATTGCGAGGAAGCCTAAAACGCCTTTCGACTGCAGCGGAAACATCGACAGCTTGCGCTACACGACGCACAGCTCCACCCATCCACACACTACATATCCAGTGTAAGCCAAAAAGAATAAGACTGGAAAGCATCTAGATGGGGACCTCGATCATTTCACACCCGGCCCACACTCATTCAACATACACAGCATCCATATGAATGGGTGGAAACATGCATACCAGACGTACATAAGACATTGGGCGGACCGTAACCCATCCCACACTCGATGGGACCACTGTTAGAAGCCTAGCTTTATCAGCAAGCCCGTTCACTCCGTCTCCTCCACCAACGATCAACAGTCTTTTGTGGCGAGTAATTGACATCGCGTTTCGAGATGTAGGTACGTTGTCAACATTCGCACCCAGTGAAGCCAAATTGAAGCTATCAATCAGCAAACACTCAAAGTGGAACAGAATATACACACAAGCAAGTGCACAAACCAACGGTAGAGGCGGTACAGCATACGTGCCACTTCTGCCGGGAACAGCGTAGTTAACACACATTGACAGTGACCTCATTCAAAGGATGTTGTCCCAAGTTGTTGAACGTTGTGTTCTAGTCCAAATACATGGCGGGGAACGCACTTGAAACGTGGCGAAATTGGCGTAAGAGGTTTCGCTTAGAGCAGCGCCTTAAATTGTTCAACATCAATCTCCAGTTGACCGACAGAGATAAAGAGAACGCAGTCACTAGAGTCTAACAGTGACTCCAGTATGTCTTATCTCCGAAAGGTACAAATGCGGGGCATAACTGAAGGAGCAGCGATTTTCCCGACACTTACTGTAGCCAGAATTTCATCATACGAGCATTCTACCAGACGGTATGAAGTGGCTCAAACTTCAGTGCCGTTATTTTGCTCAAAATTTGATTAGTTACCGATCTTACAAGTGTAAGCAAAAAGTCACACCATACATTCTTATCCTCAGATATGCTTCTGATATTCGAAGCGCTTTCCTGTATGGATACCAATGCTCATGACGTCTAGAACAAGTTATCCAGGCTTCAATATCAACGGGGCACGATCTTTTTGGGCTGATAATGATAACTGGCTGAACGCTGAAATCACTGATGCGGAGATGGCTCTACCAGGAGTGTCCGTCCTACCTGAAGGTCGTCCGGGCAGTGACCTACATCCCCAAATCGTTGACGACCCAGAGGTTCAATTCGTGAACTTGGGTGCGGCCTGCAACAAGGACGTGGGGACACCTTATTAGCTGGCCTTGAATACCGTCCTCCGATGTATCCTCTAGAAATGGACAGCCGTCCAGCTTTAGCTTTGAAAACCGTTAAATTCCAGCCAAACACTCACATTCTACTTCGAGGAGACTTCAACTTGCACGTTCTTGCGGTTCTGCTCACCTTTGACCGTATTTCAAGTACTAGTCTTTAGCCTACCACTTCATAATCATTTAACTTCCCCTAAGAGATGCAAGACAGGAAATAAACCGGCCATTTTTGCTCTCGTCTTTGCTACTGAGGAACTTATACTCGACACAGTAACTGCTTCTCGTCTAGGAACACAGTGATCATGTAACACTGCCTTTCCATCTGTTGCTCAGAGAAGGATGTTTAGGATGAGAGGGGTTTACAATGCTCGAGGCAATGGTGTAAAACCAGCGGCAATCGAAAAATGTACACAATATTGTGTGAATTGTTGATCGCAAAAGACAATGACTTTAAAAATAGAAACACGTATAAACTGGCGTATCAGAAAGAAAAGCACATTGATGCTTTTCGTTTCTGCTCGTATATATATATATATATATATATATATATATATATCATTTTCACTTTAAATTGGACATTTTGCAAACCACATTGGACATTTTGCAAACCACATTGGACATTTTGCAAACTACTTTGGACAATTTGCAAAACATATTGGACATTTTGCAAAACAAATTGGACACGTTGCAATCTAAGTAGCAACTCGCCAATTTGTTGGTAAGAAACGAGCAGTAAGACTGCTGAATGATGTTCAGAATATACATTGTGATGACGCTAATACACCGGCATTGTGTAAGCAGCGGGCTACACTGTAAAACATTTCCTTGATCGTGAGCAGCGACTGAAGTTCTGAACTACGCTCCCCTCTCCCCATTGACATTCGCCTAGTTGGTGTGCAGTGCCCATACGCATCAACCTGTGTAGGTGTGTGACAATTGGAAACTCGGACGTCCGAATCGTAATTGTGTATCAATCATTTTGTGAGTGGATTGCGATGCGCAATCTCAATGTGCACTGTTATTCTCATTAGAGGGAACCTTGTCCGATTCGGTCAATGGGACCATGTCGGATGAAGCAGGTAGGCGGTGTCCCAGCTTCGCCCGTCTCTCTATTAGCTTTCGCAACTGCCACGTTATTGTATCAGCGTAGGCTGTAATGACCCCCAGCAAAACCAGTCTAGATCTATAGCCTATTGTTGCAACATATCAACTACTGAGGTGTGGGCGGATTACACGATGTTCAGGCCACATTGTGGTCACGATAATGTAACCGAACTGTGTACGTAGCGGGTGATTGTGTAAGCCCTTCTCTTGACATGAGTGCCGTTCGCCTCGGTCAAAATCGTTGACCTATTTTCCCCTACACCCCCCCCCATAGGAATTCGTGCGTTTTGTCTGGGTGTGTGGACCGACCTATGCAGCGGTACCACTATTGGAGCGGAGCATACGATAATGGTTCCACTCAACACAACTTAGCTTTATTAGCTCCGTGCTGCACGAAACGACCAAAATGAGTGACGAACAACAGGAGAGCTGGTGTCCGACGCGACGGCACTGCAGGCGAACATCATTTGCGCAAAGAGAAATTCGCACAAAACTTGTGCTGGTCGACGGCAAAACTACTCGGGAAGCCGCTGAAGTCGCCGGTGTTAACGCGAGTGCCGTTCAACCGCTTGTTCGACGCGCTGCAATACATTGGAAGTCAGCTTCTCCCTATTGTTTCCACCGCAGGTGCGCTCTGCATTTGAGCCTTCTCGCTTGTAGGCATTAATGATGTTCCTTGCCGTACTCGCGTTAACACCGGCGACTTCAGCGGCTTCCCGAGTAGTTTTGCCGTCGACCAGCACAAGTTTTGTGCGAATTTCTCTTTGCGCAAATGATGTTCGCCTGCAGTGCCGTCGCGTCGGACACCAGCTCTCCTGTTGTTCGTCACTCATTTTGGTCGTTTCGCGCAGCACGGAGCTAATAAAGCTAAGTTGTGTTGAGTGGAACCATTATCATATGCACCGCTCCAATAGTGGTACCGCTGCATAGATCGGTCCACACACCCAGACAAAACGCACGAATTCCTATGGGGGTGTAGGGGAAAATAGGTCAACGATTTTGACCGAGGCGAACGGCACTCATGTCAAGATAAGGGCTTACACAATCACCCGCTACGTACACAGTTCGGTTACATTATCGTGACCACAATGTGGCCTGAACATCGTGTAATCCGCCCACACCTCAGTAGTTGATATGTTGCAACAATAGGCTATAGATCTAGACTGGTTTTGCTGGGGGTCATTACAGCCTACGCTGATACAATAACGTGGCAGTTGCGAAAGCTAATAGAGAGACGGGCGAAGCTGGGACACCGCCTACCTGCTTCATCCGACATGGTCCCATTGACCGAATCGGACAAGGTTCCCTCTAATGAGAATAACAGTGCACATTGAGATTGCGCATCGCAATCCACTCACAAAATGATTGATACACAATTACGATTCGGACGTCCGACTTTCCAATTGTCACACACCTACACAGGTTGATGCGTATGGGCACTGCACACCAACTAGGCGAATGTCAATGGGGAGAGGGGAGCGTAGTTCAGAACTTCAGTCGCTGCCCACGATCAAGGAAATGTTTTACAGTGTAGCCCGCTGCTTACACAATGCCGGTGTATTAGCGTCATCACAATGTATATTCTGAACATCATTCAGCAGTCTTACTGCTCGTTTCTTACCAACAAATTGGCGAGTTGCTACTTAGATTGCAACGTGTCCAATTTGTTTTGCAAAATGTCCAATATGTTTTGCAAATTGTCCAAAGTGGTTTGCAAAATG